ATTCTTTTTGGTACAGTGACTGTCTATTCCTTCTATCTTGTTCTGATGCTTCCTGCGTCATTCAATTTTTTGTCCATAGAATCCTTCAATATTGCAACTTGAGGCTTGAATTTTTTCTTCAGTTCTTTCAGCTTGAGAAATGCCAAGTGTGTTCTTCCCTTTTGGTTTTCTAACTCCAGGACTTTGCACGTTTCATTATATTATTATACTGTCTTCTTGAGCTGCTCTTTGAAATCTTCTGTACAGCTCTTGTACTTCATCACTTCTTATGTTCACTTTAGCTATTCTATATTCAAGGGCAAGTTTCAGAGTCTCTTCTGACATTCATTTTGGTCTTTTCTTTCTTTCCCGTCTTTTGAGTGACCTCTTGCTTTCTTCATGTATTGATGTCCTTGATGTCATCCCACAACTCGTCTGGTCTTCGGTCATTAGTGTTCAAGGTATCATATCTATTTTTGTGATGGTCTCTAAATTCAGGTAAGATATACTCAAGGTTGTACTTTGGCCCTCATGGACTTGGTTTAATCTTCATCAGCTTCAACTTGAACTTGCATATAAGCAATTGATAGTCTGTTCTGCAGCTGGGCCCTGGCCTTGTTCTGACTGATGATATTAAGCTTCTCCATCACCTCTTTCCACAGATGTAGTCGATTTGATTCCTATGTATTCCATCGGACAAGGTGTGATGCTGGAAGCTATGCTACTTCTATTTCAAATTCCAGCAGGGTTGCCCACAGTGGACAGATTTCAGCAGAGCTTCCAGACTAAAACAGACTAAGAGGAAGAACCTGGCAATCTACTTCTGAAAAATCTGGTCAGTGAAAACGTATGGTTAGCAGTGGAACACTGTCGATATAGTGTTAGAAGATGAGCCCCTCAGGTTGGAAGGCACTCAAAATACGACTGGGGAAGAACTACCTTTTCAGAGTAGAGTCGACTTTAATGACGTGGATGGAGTAAAGCTTTTGGGGTCTTTGTCTGCTGATGTGGTATGATTCAAAATAAGAAGAAACAGCTGCAAATGTCCATTAGTAATTGCAGCATAGAATGTACGAAGTATGAATCATGGAAAACTGGAAGTTGTCAAAAACAAAATGGAACACTTGAAGATCAATATCCTAGGCGT